CTCTGGCGTGTTGCTGCTTGCTTCGACGAATGCCGTGCTGTGGCAGCCAGCCAGCAGATGAACCCTAAGCTGTGCTGGTGTGGGCGAGCATCAAGTATGCGCATGTATGTGCTCACATACACTAGTATGGTTTCATACGCAAGGAAAGCTGATGCGGAACTATTGGGGAGAGTAAATGGGGCAGTGACTGTGCCACATCTGCTCTGCACACAGGTAAATAGCCACAATGATTGGCTTAATTACCATCATCATGCTTCCCATCTTCCCCTCCCTCAAGATCATCACCATCTCATTCATTGTAATCTTTGCTGTTTAACAGCGAGTCTGGAAATGTCACTCCTGTCTTTAATGTATTTTGAATTATGGCCAAATAAGCATTGTAGGCTAGCCATCAAGTACGGTACAAAGAGTGGAAATCTTATGCAGAACATAAAAACGTAGGAAAGGCAATTATAAGTTCATATCTTTCTTTTTGTTGCTATTTTTGTTGCCTTGTGCTTATGAAAACCCAGCAGAATACATCTTGACTGAGCCATGTGATTTTCCAACAATTTGACTGCCTGGCAGAGCTATCAACTCTTTGCAAGCACGCCTTCCTGCACATACACAAATGAACCCCAGCCTTGCCAGTTCACCAGGTGTTACCGCCCATCTTCAGCCCTTTCGCTCTCCAACAACCCCCCGCCATGCATGGCAGAAAATTTCTCTCATCAACTACTAATCACAGCTACGCATTCTGGGACAACTCTCCAGCAACAGAAGGGCTGGGTGAAAAACCAATTAGCTAAGCATTTTGGATCAAGCACAGTTAGTTGCACAAACAAAAGACACTCGGTGTTCAACGTATCCGAAGCACCCACACACACTCAAACCTGACTGTGAGGGAAATTAATTTAGCTGTAGAAATAGGAAGCGCAATCAAACATTATGCCTCTCCTCTATCTCACTTACTAATAATAATGCAACAACAAATACAAAGACAAGAACGTCTGAAAAAGAAAAAAAAGAGCTATTGTGCATGAAACGAAACAAACGAGACAGAGAAGGATAGAGCGAGAGGGAAGGAGAGCTGTTTCTCCTGGCTCTGCAATCCTTACCATCTGTGAGGGTTTGGAAGCACATCTTGCTGCTGTATTTGCCAAAGCCAGCCACAGTCCGTGCGCGCACCTGTACCACATAGACTGTACCCGGCCTGAGGGCCTCCACACGCGCTGTGTTAGTTTGGCTCCGCAGGATAGTGGAGTTAATCTCTGCATGGTCCTGAAAAGAGCAACGATCACAGGCAGCAAGTTAGAGATAACTTCATGAGAAGATGTCAGAAGATGAAAGGATTAAATCACACCATGCAGAATTCAGAAACGTCCAGTGTTGGCAAGTTTGAGATACAACAACCAAGTTTATGATGGAATCACGTATTCTGGTAATAGTAAGGAGAAATGGTCCCGAATTTAAAAGAAATTTTAAGTCGCATGTTACAGGAAATGCACTGTGCTTCTGAAAAACATCAGTGACAGAGAAAGAATAGAAGTCGATATAGAGAAGAGTAGATAAACAACAGACAGGAGCGACGAGGCAAAAGCTCTCCTTAAGGCTTCGGTGTGAATGCTGTATTAGACAGACAGTGGTAATATGTTTGTACACCAGTTTTTAAAAAGGCTTCAACCAGTTTGAACTTCAAATAAAATTTCAAACCACGACAGAGCACGTACGCGGTCTAAAACACACTGTGTAAAATATAAAAGCATTTATACAGTTACACGCATGCACAATATTGTAATTAAAGGCAATCGTTTCTTGCGGTTTACAAAGAGAAATCGCTACGTCAGAACATTAAAAACGCCACTGCGTGGTTTGTCGCTTGTGATGTGCTTTATGAGGTAATTTAATTACTGCAAGAAGTTTGAACATTTGATCCTCAGTTTTGTTCTTTGAAGTGGGTTTGCTTTTGTTGATTTATTTTTATTTATTTATTTTTTTCAATCCAATTCCTCTGGCAGTAAGTATTTTACTTGTTTATGAAAAGGAATAGCTTAAAAATTCTTGCACGTCCCATGCAACATTCAATATAAGGTGTTTCCCCTCTATTTTTTGTATTGATTTTTGAATTGGAATATCTATTTAGGATAGAAATCCAGTGGTGAAATCCAGCTTTTGTCAGCTGAGACAACTGGCAAAAATAAAAAAAACATTCTGCAGAAAAGTCGCTTTGAAACATGAATCCATGCTTTCATCACAACTCGGTTGGATTAGTGTAATTCTTTATATGTTGGTGTCGTCTTCAGCTGGTGCAAAATGCTGCAGCCTGACTTTTAACTGGACCACGGAAAAGAGAGCATATTACCCCTGTTTTATCCTCCCTGCCTGTCCATTTCGGAGTTCATTTTAAAATTCTTTTATTTGTTTTTTAGGTGATTAAATGGCCTTGCCCCGCCCTACCTCTCTGAGCTGCTGCACTTGCACTGCCCTTCCCCGTCGCTCAGCTGACCAGCTGCTCATGGATGTGCCGAGGAGCAAAGGCTCAGAGGGGACAGGGCTTTCGCCATAGCAGCTCCCAAATTGTGGAATTCATTGCTGCTTCTTATTAGACGGGCCTCTTCACTGCTAATCTTCAAAATTCGTTCTTAAGATCCATGTCTTCGGCTTGGAGTTTAACGCAGTTTGTATATTATTCTTTTTTTATCCTTTTGTTTCACTCATGTTTAATCCTATCTTGTATTCTACTGATGCTTTTATTTTTGCGTTTTAGTATCAATTCTGTTTATTTTATGTTTATCTATTTATTTATTCTGCGTACTTTTATTTTGTAGCACTTTGGTCAGTGGGAGCAAAATATATAGAAATGAGGGGTGGCTGAAGATTTTTGCACATTACTATATTTTCACTCTTACAGAGGCAGTCTGCAGTCTGCTGCAGTGTAGTCTGGGACTTGCTTTAGGTATCTGCTATTGTGGATCAGTAATGACTATGGCCTGTCACCTTCCCATAACCCAGAGTGAATATGACAGCCAGAAAATAAGACTGCACCTACACAACCCCCACCACTGCAAGCTGCTGATAGTTAGATGCTGACAGAGGTAGAGAAGGAAAAGGGCAGCTCAATGCAAAGTGGCCAATTTCCCTTGAATTAGTAGTGCAGTGTAAATATAGGCAACTTTTTCTTAAGTGTAATGAGTAAACTCATGCTTAATGCTAAATAAAAACTTCCAAAACATGTATGAGTATGCAGAGAAAACTTGAGAAAAAAAATTGACAACACTATGGAGCAGAAAAAAAAATAAAGGTAGAGAGGGAGCGGGGAGATGGTAGGAAGCGATAAGAAACTCGAGGCAGAAGGAACCCACATCAAAATCATTATCCAATCTTATTGGTGTAATTGAATCATTCCAGTTGCTCTGTCATTGAGCAGACGAGGTAAACACAGCTATGAAATCTGCCCCCCCACATAATAACGTGAGCAATCACATTAACTCTTATTGGACACCCTGAGCTTGATGAAGACAAATGTTTGGGCCAGGGATGGGAGAGCATCACACCAACAGGCTTTCGCTCTATCTCTGAGAGAAAAGAGATATTTATAAACGCAATGCTGGATGTAACTGGTTTAGAGAGTTTAATCATTTCACAGACCTTTTGTACATGAGATCACACAAACTGTCATTTCACCAGTGTGCTGCATACAAATACTTGTGGAACTTGACTTCAGAGAAGCAGCTTGTGCATTTGAAAGAGGTGCAAAACACAAGAAGCCCCACGAGAGACTGAAACCCTTGTCACCTATTCATCTGGTCCAAGATATGGTTCAGTGCACGCGGACCACTTGGGGTCAAGATTTGCCTATTCCTGCTTATCAGTCATCGTGAATTTCCCTGAATCACACCCCCATCTGCTGAGCTTGAATGGGGGACAGGTGAGCAGACAGATGGCAAATCGCCAATGGGCAAGCATCCCTTGGGGGAGCCCCAGCTAGCAATGGCCCTTTCATGCTGCCTGTCAAATGGGGATTATGTGACACACACACACACACACATCTGCTACTTAAAATGAGCTGGCATTTGGCACTCCAGCAGGTTAGGCGATAACCAATGAAAGCCCATGCCAGGAGGGACTTCCAGGCATGAGAGGTCCTCCCCTGCTGCCAGTCAAATGAGGATTAGGAGGACCACACCCATACTTGCTAAATAAAGACAAAGTTGCAGGTGGGAAGGCAGATGGCGGAGCAGCCAATCAAAAGCGTTGCCAGGGGTGACAGAGAGTAAGCAATATGGGGAGTTTGGGCTCTATGACATGTAATAAAATCACCGAAACACACTTAGCGAGGCAACTCTCTCATGAATATTGTTCACAGATTTAATCGATTCATTTTTATTGATGTTTCTTGTCCGGACTGTTGTTAATACACGAGCACATGTCTATTAATTGTAACCTACCCCCTACATGACTAACAAAGTAGTGACACTGCATATATTTGGATGTTTTAATTGAAGTTCTTATGGAGAATCTATTATATTTATTAGAATTATTGTATTACTACCAGAGCAATTATAATTGTATTGGTATTAACAGACTGTCACTTCTTTCTTTTTTTTCAAATTCCAATACACACCCAGTTGCTCTTCTAGTGCCAGTTTTCCTCGGCCACTTGTCATCCTTTCACTTCTGGAAATTTGTATTTTTGTGTGACTTTCTGAATCGAAACGATTCCTCTTGTGGGTCTGTTATAGGTGGTAGTCATATACGACTATTAAAAAAAGCCTGATTTGACTTCACTTCACTTGGTCTGCAAAAACAAACAAACGATGTGTACACAGACACCTCTCAAAGTACACATAGTTTGTTTGTTTTTAAAAAACAAAAACAAAACAAAAAAAAAAACACCAAAAATGGACAGCATGGCTCCTTGGCACAGAGACAAACTTGGTAGTACCATGTGTCTTATTGAAAAGCTCACACACATGGGTGCACTCACACACGCACATAAAGAGAAAGATGGGGAGTATATAAGACAACATTTTGATATTTGAAGAAAAAAAAAACTCTTCTATTAATGTTCCCAATTAAAATGTATTGCCTAAGGTTGGGAAAAAACCACTTTAGTAGGGGGCAACAATTTAAATCTCAGAGAGTAGATAGTTTTTATTTCCAAATGCAAATAATTACCACTGCCTCATGAATTCTAATCTAAAAGGAAAATAGTAATTATTTTTAAATTGTAAAATAGTCGTGATAAAAATACGACATTAAAGACCCCCAATGTCTCTTAATGATTTTGTGAAGTAAAGAAGTTAAACCAGTGTAAGAGCAAATTTTATCCCCACACAAAAAGGGTCTCGCATTTGTTTTTCATTGCGATTCTGCAAAGCTGTATGTTTAACACTAATGAGGATGGTAAAAGACAAGCAAGAAAATTCAATTTATCTAATGTAAGTTTCAAGGGAAACCTATTTGTTTTTGCTCTTTGAGTTTTTCTTGTTCTTTGTAGGCACCTTTTCTTTTTCTCTTTGTATGCATTCCATTCACCTGGAGACCTACAAGAAGGCTTCGGTAAGTGAGTAGGGAGACAAACAAAGAGGGAGAAAAGAGAGTGCGCTCTTGCTGAGGGACTGAGGGAGTGCTGCATAAGTTCCAATGAGAGAGAAAAAAGAAGAAAAAAAAGAAAAAGAAAACTTTTTTTAGTGTGTGTGTCCATAAAAGTGTTGTAGTTGAGACAAAGGAATAACATGCATTCCCAATTACTTCTTCTGAGGACCTTTTAATTATATGTAAGGTGAAATTTGCAGTAAGACTGCCCCCCAAAAAGTTGTAAGTGTTAATGGTCAGCATGTTGCAGATCATAGTGACATGCCATAAAACTTGCATTTGCTCTCGAATTTGTCACACCGTAGCATGACAGTACTGCTGTCATCCAGAATGGATACACCTGGACTGCTGCCGACACGCAAACACTGACACTCGCTCACACACAGATCCCGGCACACACACACACACATCCTCTCTCTGACACCAGCAGAGCAATCAGTAACCAGAGCCGGTGGCTGCTCCGCTCCAGCCTTAATGGAGGGCCTGACCTCCGCTACGCTGCGTTATTTCCACCCTCCCCAAATTTTCAGGCAACCAGAGGAAAAGGGGTCTGAGAAAAATGGAGAGAACGAGAGCATGCGATTCTACTTTTTCTCAACAAATCTTCGACTCATTTAATCTTGCTTCCCAATTTACAGAGTCCTGAGACCGCTTACTCTGGAATGAGAAGGTAGGTTGAAGAAGTGAGCGAAGCCTGTTGAGAGAACAGCCTCCAGCATTTTCTTGAGGTTTCAAGTGAAATTGTCAAAATGCAGTCATTTCCAACAGCTTTATATATGCAGCTACAGCTTAAACTGCAGTTCTACTATATATGGAAAATTTGGACTTATTCTGCAGCTTTACGATTATCATTACTGTTAACATTTTATATAGCAGTACATTTTCAGAAATGATAAATAGTAAGTTGTTCATTTAGTGATGTTGCTTATCATTAAATGAAATGTGCAAACATACACGGAAAAACAGTTCATAAGGCATAAAGAAGAGTTTTTGAGCACCTTTCTGCTTCAACACAGCCTGAACTCTCTTAGCTTTCTACTCAGTTTCTTTGGATTCATCACTCCATGAAACCTGTTACCACTGTTTTTCAGTCCAGTTCTTGTGTAATCTGGCACAACTCAGCCTTGTTTCCCCGTTTCACTAAGAATGGCTTCTTGACAGCCACCCTCTCACTCCAACTATTTCTAATGAGACCTCGGCAATCAGTAGAAGGATAAACTGAAGGACCAGATGCATCTTTCACCTGAATTTTTCCTCCTACTTTTTAAGAATGTGATTTTCAGATACTGTTCAGCTGCTGCAGCTTGTTTTTAGGCCTGCAACGTCTTCTTTTGTCCTGCACTTGTTCATTTTCCTCAGCATATTGAAAGATAAACTGCGCACCATGCCAAGATATGCCAACTTTTCAGATAATACCTCTGGGAATCACCCTGTTGATGCGAAAAATATTTAATCACTGTCAAACTGTCACTTTTTGCAGATTCAACTAAAGAAATGGGAACAAATTATATGTTTTTGGCGAAGCGCTGCTAGTAATTTAAAAATTGGTTCTTTGCTAAGTTGTCTGTTATGTGTAAACACAACACGGGTTCATCCCTTGAGTTAGTTGCCTTTTTTATGCTTGAATGATTCACAGGTCAGTGTCGAGTAGCTTAAACAAACAAACAAAAACATTCCTCAGAAAATTGTCAGGTACAAGTACCGGTACTGGAAACGAGTGAAAAAGCTGCCACTTATTTCTAAAGCTCAAAAACATTTTAAATTTAGAATAATGTGGCTCAAAACTTTTTCCACAGTATTGTATATGGGACATCGGTGCAATTGAGACATTTCTTTCCCAAAAGCAGTTATTTTAAAATAAAAATAAAGAAGGAAATACCTAAAGATCTGTGCAAACTTTCTGCTTCACTGACTGCATGACTACATTTTTTTTTAGCTTTTCCAGCGAGTGACTTAAAGCGGACATGCTTTGAGCCTGAGTCCTGTAGCTCTAGCAGACAACCTTATGAACCAATGTTTTTTATGGCCCCAGAGGGTGTCCTGGTGGCTCAGCAGACAACATCACAGAGCATGTACTTTTCCTTGCATGTATATCTCCCTTTAAAAATGATCAAGAACCAGTCCAATCACTGTTGCATATGACATTCTGTATTGCACTGTCACAGAAAAAACAAAACAGCAAACAATCAAACCTGCGTACAAGAACTAAACTTGTATCGAACAAGTACTATGACGAGGTTGTGAGAGAAGTAGATCAATCCTTTATGAACAACCTGAAGTATTACTCAACACAAAATGTGACAATGCCATGCTGTTAGAGAAGTTGCCATTGTCAGTGAGTATATGTGGCTCCCGGGGAGATGGAGTTTGCAGAAAGACAGCTCACGCTTTGCTGTGCTAAGGACTAGCTGACTGTGGCAGGCACACTGAGAAAATCAACTCCATAACCATAACAGTGTGACTACTCTCATATTCAAAAGGCCACATCATCACTTTACAGCAGAATGGGCAAGAAAGCAAGGAAGATAAACTCACGAGAAAGCCATGCCAAGGTTTGTGACAGAGAGAATCTACATGGCATTACGCACTTATGTGCATAGGGAAATTTAGCAGGCTGGGAAATTACACTTCAATCCATTTAGCTTCATTTGATTCTTTTGGCCAAAAACTTCAACCACCTGCACTTTTGGTTGGTTGGTTGGTGCTTAATCAGGCATAAAAACACATCTACACTGACACTTTGGACAGCCACGGCTGGCTGAAGAAGTGTCTGTTCAGAACCTATAAAAAGCTGCGTCAGATCCAAAATACAGCTTGTCAGAA